ACAATCTGCGATATAAATAGCTTAGCTAATTGGCTTAAAGAATACTTCTCCCTCACTAGAATAAAATGTGCTGACTTCGTAAGCCGATCAACTACCACCCAAATGCCGTCATAACCATTCTGTGTACGAGGGAGCTTGTACACAAAATTCATAGTAATATTTTCCCATTTCCACTGTGGAATGGGAAGTGGTTGCATCAAACCAAATGGCTTCTTCCTTTCAGCTTTAACTTGTTGGCAAATAGCACACCTACTCGCATATTCGGCAATTTCTCCTTTCATACCTGGTCAATAATAAAATGGTCTAATGGTATGATACATCTTAGTGCATTTTGGATGCATCGCATATGCTGAAATATGTGCTTCATCCAAAATTTCTTTCTTTAACTCTGCATTATTTGGCACATACATTCTGCTTTCCTGCATAAGCATACCATCAGATTCTCGAATCCCAAATCTTTCTTTTTGCCTTGATTTCTTGCTTGAATTATTTCCTGGGTCTCTTCATCAATCATCTGAGCCTTGAGCACACGATCAATTAAAATTGGCCTGACTTGAAAATTAGTAAGCAAAGCTTCTTCTCGATCTTCTACTCCTAACTCCACTCCAGTGGACCTCAAACTGGGTAAAACTTTAAAACGTCTATTCTCGCTCGTTTCTTAACCATTTTTCATGAATTTTGTACCAAAATGAAGCTAGGGACTAGGGGTGGGTTCAAAAAACCGAAAACCGAAAAAAACTGAAAACCAAACCGAACCGAAACCGAAAAAACCAAACCGAACGAAAAAACCGAACCGAATTGAAAAAACCGAACCGAACCGAATTCTTTTGGTTCGGTTCGGTTTTAGTGATCTAGAAACCGAACCAAACCGAACCGAACCGAATTAATTAAATTAATTTTTTTATTTAATTATTTGTTTTGGGTATTATTTCTAAACCCAATTTGTAAGTCAAAATGTGCTAACCCAATGTGTTGCCAAACTTTAAGCTCAAAATATTAAAAAAAGGCCTATAAAAACTCTAAACCCTAACCTATTATTTCTCCCCCATATAAGGTTCCGGAACCAAACCTCTTCCCGAAGTACCTACATCCATCTCCATAGCACTGTCTACTTCTGCGCCAGCTTTCTTTTCCAAATCTACTTTCATATAACATGTAACATAATCCATAAACATTTATTTCGGGTAGATTACTTGGGTAATTTGTGATGGAAAAGAATCCAACACACACTAAATAAATCCACCCACGCATTACCTTTACTAATCAAGTTGTCAACATGCAGTTACAAGCAAACAACACTGATCTTTGAACAACATCATACAATTTAACTTTTCTAAGTCATTTGTACGATTTTTGTGTGATTTTTGTGTTGTGAGGTTGTTAGTTTGGACTTTGAAAGACTTGATTGATGATTTTAGTTCAACTTTGAATGTTTATTTTCATTGTCTTTGATTATAGTTAGAATGTTTATGTTATGATTGTGTTGGATATGTTAAAATTTAAAATTTCAATGTTTTTCATTTTTTGAAAAAAAATAAAAACAAAAAACCGAAACCGAACCGGAAAAAACCGAACCGAAAAAAAACCGAACCGAAAAAAACAGAAAAAAAATTGAACCGAACCGAAATTTCGGTTTGGTTTCGGTTTTAGTAAAAAACCGAACCGATTTAAACCGAACCCACCCCTACTAGGGACATCCACAATCACGTTATAACAGTTTTAAGACCTAAAAACTGCTACATTTTTCCTAGGAAAAGCTCGATAGTTTGGCTTACCTAGAATAACTTCGATCTTGGCCTTCTGACGTCCATATCCTTTCAACGAAGTACCCCGAGACTCATGAGGACCTCCTTAAACTTCCTGTGACCTTGAAATTTCCAAAAAACAAGATTTAACGTTTGCATGAACAGTACCCCAAATCGGGGTTATGGTTTCGACATGAAGACAAAGTTGTCCTTACCTGAAAATGGTTTAGATGTGTTCCTGAGCTTGCAAGGAACACGATGGTACCTTCAACGTCCTCGATGTACGAAATGTGAATGGGTTTTGGTGTTTGTCCGTACACAATGTCGAGAGGGAGAAAGAGAGAGAGAGTCTGAGAGATAGAGAGATAGCACGGGAGAGAAAAGAAAGAAAGGGGTATGGATGTGTGTGTGGTCCTAAAATACACACCAATCAAATTTGTTTAATCCTTTTGTTCTAATTGGGTCCAATTAGTTAGGAATAGAACTAATTGACCCAATTCCTTAACCCAAAACACAACACACATCCAACGCTCAAGGGTAAATCTATCTTTTCACAACCACGATAATTAATTATCGGGACGGGCTGTGACACATTATTTGGTCTTTAAAATTTTGTTTAAAAATTTGGTCTCCCTAGCATTACCCTAGATTTCATATCAAAAGTTGAGTACGCATTAAAAATATATTTCTTTATTCTTCACACTAGTTATCAAATTTAAAGCTTGATAATAATAAATTTTTTAAAATTTCTCCTTTTCTTAAAATTAATATGGATGCGAGTTGGAATTCTGCTACTGGTTCGGGGTGTGCTAATGTTATTGAGTGGGATCATGAGTGCAACCTTGTGGCTATGGGTGCAAATTTCTATCATCTCTTCATTTGATAGAGGGTAATCTGGTGTGCCTCGAGGGTAATCTGGTCCTTTTTGCCTAAAAATTCATGTGTCACTTCCACAATTTTTGGGATTATTTTTGGCTCCACAGTGGCGGCTAAGAAGACAAACATCAGTGCACTGAAGGTTGTTGTGGCAGAAGATTTGGTAGAGATTAAGGGTCGTAAGTTGGCCATGCGACTGCATTTTCTTAATGTCATTATTGAGTCGAATTCAAAGAAAATGATTTCGAGTTTGAGTGGCCCTCTAATGAATGGCAGTTGAGAGGCATTCGTACCCTTGTGAAAATCAATTAATTATAGGAATCTTTCCAGGACTATCGCTGGTCTTAGGCCCCAAAATCAGCCAATATGGCGACAGATCGTTTGGTGTCATCCAGCTAGAAATACAGAGATAAGCGGTAATATTTGATCAATCGACCCCCACTTCATTGGCTCACATTCTCAATAAGAATGATTTGCCTTGTCCTCATTCATGTTAAGGGAATTGGATCCCATCCAGATCCACTTTGTGGGGATCCTAGGGATCCTCATATTTTAGCCATTTATCGTGTATCGTGTGGCCATAATCATTTGACTTTTTTTTTATTTAAAATTAAACACAAATAGTATCCGACGAAAATTGATTGCACGATGTACGATAAACGGTTAGGTAGTGGATGGGGATGACGTCGTCGCAATAGTTGCAACGTATTCCTATACTGTATCCCCCTTGCACTGCTTGTGATTGCTAAACTCTCTTGTATGTTTATTTGCCTTGCTGTGGGCCGGCCTTCGTTGTAACAGTGGCTTTGCCCTGGTAATGAAATTCTAGTTTGCCAAAAAACAAGAAAATAACTCGTCATTGCCATTTTAATTAACTAAAGATGGTCCCGGTTAATGCCACGGTCAAAGGGCCTTTCTAGGACCATTTAGTTGCTTGATTGGTAGATTTGTTGTGCTAAATGACTACATTATCTGTATTTTCTTTTTGTGGGTCTTGAATTGTTGGTGTTAGCATGCTAGGCCTAGAAAGCCTTCAAGTTGTCCCCCCTTCAGTCAACCGGATTTGGATCCTCTCCTGAGCCAATGGAGAGGATCCTTCTGACCAACCATTGTGGATCGTTGAATTTTCATCTAACGGTTATAATTATTGTACCTTAAAGGGATCCTCTTTATTTGTAGCAGTTGGATAAAAATCTAACGGCCCACAATGGTTGGTCAGGAGGATCCTCTCCATTGGGTCAGGAGAGGATCCAAATCCCAGTCAACCTAATTAGTTCAACACATGTTTTTTTAAAGATGGCGGCCTACCTATCTCTAACTATCATGGGTTGAGTGAAAGCTTGTGACTGGCTCTTATCATTTTCATTAATAGGCTATTCTTTTCAAGACGCACGGTTTTCCCAATGTGAGAATATGATAATTGCATGTATCTTCGTTAATTATAACCATTAAGTTTGTCCCACAATAACTCTTCGTAGTCTCTCATAGGTTGGAGCAGCTCATTTCATGCATATTCTTATAACTTCCAACTGAACTGTCACCAACTTCTTAATTACAATATTGATACAAAATTTCTAATTTCATATATACTCCAAGTTTTATAACAAGTTAAAAAACTTTCGTATATGCAAGTTCATATCCTTTTCTAATTAAACTAAATAAATTGAAGCATTCGTCTCTAAACCATAATCAAATTGTAGTTTTAGTCCATATTAGAACTCCATTAACTTAAGGAGTAAATCGAAGAACTGCATAAGTGCCTCTTTTAAGTACATGCATGCTACATGCTTATTTTTGACGGAAATTCTCACAAAATTAGTCATTCATCAATGCTTTACCATATGTTAATTATGGGTGGTGCTATCCACACATCCAATTTTACCTATCATATGTCCCTCTCAATTTTTAGCTGTCTGATCAAATGAATTGAAGAAAATCAATAAATACACAATTAACAAGAGTGTGTGAGAGATAACAATGAATGTGTGAATAGCATTATCCATAATTATATGTGCAACTATCTCAATTCCTCTAATGTGATAAGCAATTTAGTTATTATTAATTAAGGTACGAATAACTCTTAATTTTTTATGAAACACAATAATTAGGTGAGTAACTTTACTATATGAAGGGAAGCAAATGTGGAAGTCGGTTACCAGCATGAATATTATTCCGTTTGATTCTTGATATGTGTGTACATGCATGCATTATTTCTCACGTTAAAAAACCCTAAAAAGAAAGCCAGTAACAAAAGAACATATTCCAAATTCAAAATATCCTCTCTTTGGAATCATGGAATATCGAGTTTTCATTCTCTTTTTCTTCCTTTAGATTTCTCTGATTTCATTTATCAAGGTTGCTAATTGAAGAATACAAAAAAGTAGTACACGGCCCTCCATTTATTCCCTTTTTCTGTGGCCTAACCTTGTATATAAGCACACTCCCTGCATGACATGGCTCATTAATTACCTCACCATTCCATTCTCTGTCTCCAAAATATCCGATTCTGAAGACCATTACAATTTTCTTAAGGTTACTTCGCTTCTAGTTTTTCTGTTCTCTTTCTTCTTTTAACTTTTGCATATACTCTAATTTCTATATATCCCTTCATGGCCTTGAAGGCACCTTCATATGAATGCTAGCTAGCTCTTGAGTTCCTTTTCACCTAGCTAGCTTAGGGTATAAACCCCACACAAGCTATCTATAATTTCTGAACCTTGCTTCTTAATTAGCTTCTTATTTTCAACTTTCATTTTGGAAAGCATGCTTTCTGCACACATTTTTTCACGCACAGTCCTGTTTATTTTAGTATTTGAATTGAACAAGTTGACATATAAAAACAAAAAACAAACAGGGCATGGAGATAAAAGAAGCGCGCGTAAACCATTTTCTTTAATTTTTATTTTGTCAATAATTCGGTGAAGTTTAGTTTAGTATGAGCAACTTACTTTTGATACTAAACTTAGATAGGTCTCATTTTTATTAGGGTTTCAAACTCTAAACTAGCTTACTTCTACTCCTGCCTTATCTACCCTAATTATTGGGCTAAACCTAGTGTGGCTTGTCTGAAATTAGTTTCACCTCTCCAGCTTACTAACTTCCACATATAGAAAAATAAAAAGTGAGAATAACTTAATTTGTAGAAACTAATTAATTAAAGTACCGTGCACTAGAACATTTTGTTTTATTTATAATGCAGGCCAAAACATGAGCCGACCAGGAGATTGGAACTGCAGGTCATGCCAGCACCTCAACTTCCAGAGGCGTGACTCATGCCAACGTTGTGGAGATGCCAAGTCCGGCGTAGACTTCGGGGGCTTCGGTGGAAGAGGAGGAGGATCCTCGTTTGGGTTCATGACTAACGGTTCAGATGTTCGACCTGGTGACTGGTACTGCGCTGCTGGCAACTGTGGAGCCCACAATTTTGCAAGCCGTTCCAGCTGCTTCAAATGTGGTACTTTCATGGATGATTCTGCCGCTGGAGGCGGTTGTGGATTTGACTCTGACATGTCACGCTCCCGGGGTTTTGGGTTAGGACTTGGAGGTGGTGGCGGCATTGGTGAAGCAGGTGGTGGTCGACCTGGATGGAAATCTGGAGATTGGATTTGTACCAGGTGATACAAATAGTAGTTAATAGTGTAATATATTTGTTCCTTTATTTTTATAGGATAATTTTAGGGAAACTAAGTTTGAAAACTAAATTTGCAGATTAAATAATGTGTCACTAATATGAATAAACATGTTTATCAACGTGTAAATAATAAATCAATCATCAACTTTCAAATCTTTATCTACAAATTTAATCTCCCTATCATTACCTTTTTTTTATAATCAATAAAAACCTTTGTTAGGTCGCTTTTTTTGCTTTTGTTTTGGGCACGGTTCATTGTCAAGATATATATAAATTTTCAGGTAGCTAGGTGCCCATTATCTAAATATTGAAAATCTGACCAGAAAAGTACTTGGTGAAGATATTGCTCTTTCTTTGACTGCTTTTTCAAGTTAGATACTTTAGGAATGTCTCCCTCCTTGTCCAACTTAATGACTAAGCATTTAATTACGCTTCGCACACCCAAACTTAGATTTAGTTTTGTTGCAAGTGATGGATTGTATTAATGAACAGAGTTTTCTCTTCAATCCATCATGGTTCAAACACTGCTCTCTTTAATCCAGCATATAATTGTAATATTGCTTCTAATAATAATAAACAAATGAGTTCAACTTTCGTAATCCATATCTAGTTATTAATCTCTATATGTTTTTGGGTGTAATAAAATAAAATAAAATGCTGATTTTTTTTTTTTTAATAATAATTGGGACACAGGTTGGGGTGCAACGAGCACAACTTCGCTAGCAGAATGGAATGCTTTAGATGCAATGCCCCAAGAGACTCATACTAGCTAGCTACACGTCTTATCCAATTTTGGGTAACATTTAATTTACACACTCATTGATACTTGACAATTGACAGCAATTACCATTTACAAGATTAATTAAGTCATGATGTTATGTGTTTCTTTTATTGCAGGCATATTTTCTAATGAGCAAGAGAGATGATATATGATCGTCACCAGTTTTTCTGCCAGTGTTTCTGAGGTTCTAGCTAGGGTTTTACATATATGCCTGGCATTCTGTTAGCCAGGATTTCCCATAAAAATTAAATCACTGTACTTTGGTGCTTCTCTTTAATTTATCCATTGCTGTCATTTGTTACGTTTATTTCATCTACTGTACTATTCCTGGTTTCTGAATGAATGAATGATATGATTCCTTGTTTTTTTTTTCATAACTAGAAACGATGTGCACAAACTTCATTTGGATGCTTTCTCTCTAATCAATATTTTACTGGAATATATCAATAAGGCTGCTTTCATGAAGTACTTTAGGAATAGCTACACCAATGAAACAAACAGATCACTTATTTGTAGTTGCATTGTTTGCGTTGCTAAAGGAGACTCACTCCTATCTTTATAAACACAGTTAGCTAGTGGGGTTATTTCTTGTAGTGACTCTTGATAATCAAATTACATAATTGATAACCTGTAAAAGGACCACCATTGGACATTGCAGCTTTATCAAAGTATATAAGAAAAAGGAAAAAATGGTCAGATATATATGAGCAGTTTCACTTTTAAAAGTAGCTTGAGGCAACAGTGATGAATTCCAGTAAGCATTCATGATATCTCAAAGAAAACAACCATGATAACTGATAAGTACTATAGAAGGAACTAACATTGCTTTAAAACTACAAGGTGCAGTGTCATACATACACTGATGCCAAAAATAATAAATTATTTTAAGATTTGTTGAGCCATGCACATTCTTATTTGGAAGTTAAACGAGATGTAAATACCTTTCTTAAGTATGCAACTGTAATAAATAAGATTTGAATTTAAGAATTTTGACAAAATTGAGGCTGCATGTAATGTATACAAAATAGTAATGAATGAGTATTTACCATAGTTAAGTGTATCAATAGTAAGGGGCCGGGTTGCATCTAAAATGCATACTAATTCAAAATTTGGATAATGTGAAGCCTTATTATATTAACACCTCACAAATTGTTGAATAAATTCCACACACTTAATACACCTCACATTTGCTTTTTCAATTAAAAATTATCTAAATACACCCCACATACTTCCTCATAATACCCTAACACCCCACATTCTCAACATACACCTTACATTTTCTACGTAGACCCCACATTCTCTATACACCCCACATTTTCATACAAACATTGGTTTTTATATCTCATTTCGTTTTCTTTTTTGGACAGAAATTTTGCAGAGTTGCTGCTTTCCATGGAGTAGAAAATGAGATTCAATCGTATCTCCAAATTTGTGGGTAAATTATAAGGTGTCTGGACCTGTAAATATCGTAAAGGCTCTTTGTTCAGTAGGGAGGATCACCTTCTATAAAGTGCATCCATTTTCATCTGTCTAAGCTTGTGTGTTATTTTTCTATTAACAAAGATTTCATAATTCTGATTGGAAATCTTTCTTCTTCTACTTTTGTCATCTTTTTTAGGTGCGTTATTGTGCCATTGTGTTCCCAATTTAACTACTATATATGGCTGGAAAAGACCAGATTCTCTGGTTCTATTTCAATATATAATATCCGTCAATACTTGTCATTTTCTTGGGATGCATTCTCTAAATGATTCTCGCATGCTTTCGATTTACCTCATGTGAAGTTTCTGAAACATCGATTTCGTGTTCCATTCATCAAAAATAATTTTTCTCAAGCAACGTGTTGTAGTTTTGTTAGTTTGGGTTTTGTTCAACAATGGAAGGTGGAAAGAGGTTTTGATTGTTGAAGAAGATAAATAATACATTAAGTGATTTGGGGTGTATTTAGAACCTAATAAGGTTGAAATTGTCATTCCACAGTAAGGAACACAAGTTATTTAATATTAAATTTTAATGTGGGATGCATTCAACATTATGTGGGGTGCTAATAAAAAAAGCCTAATGTGAATAACTATTTAATTTAATTCCTACTATACTCTTTTGCTTAAATGGCCACATTGGATTCCCTTACATATTGACCTAAGTGTATCTTTTACAAGTACGTATATGGCGGATTAGTGGATTATATATAAATTCATGCATGCATATGTGTCTAGCTCTTGGCAGTCCGGCCATTATCAATGCTTAAAGCAACAAAATCTTGTCTTCCCTTTAGGTTAAGCTTTAGGATAAGCTTTATGTTACTTCAATTTGTTTACTACTTTAGCTAGTCAAGTAGCATTCTAGCCAAGTTATGATTAATTTGTTGCTTGTTTCATGGGCATGTCAATTCGGCCCCAAGACTTTCTTGTAATTTACTGCATACAGTACTAGAGAGTTGAACCAATATTTTATTCAAAATTGTATCAATGGATCAATATTGAGGGTCAAAAATTTCATGAGAGACCCAAATGCATTTGGCAGCCCAAATCTTCAGATAATGCTTTGGTACTTACCGTCTGTACTTAAATTTCTGACCATCTTACATGGCTCACTAAATTTATAACACATATCTAATTAAACTCTGACCCAAACCAAATACACCAATTCTCTTCTTCATGAACATCTAAACGTCCATTTTCTCTCTCCCCAAGAACACAAACAGACACGAGACAACAATAACTTCTACCAGCCACCTCCGCTCCCATCCTCCTGAAGTGTCAATTCATGAGGGTTTGAAGGAATCTATATAAATGAAAGGTGAATTTGTGGCTGGGCTTGGATCGTACCCATGAAACCCATTTTTTCTCAAAAATTGGAGATGAATGAGGAAGAAGAGAGCTGGAGACAATAGAGCTGCGGTGGCCTCAAGGAGAAAGGAGAGGTGGTGGAACTGCCATGGGTTTGGGGATGATGGGGTAGAGACAGAGCTGTTGGAATGTGTTTGGGTTAATATTTAAACTTTGGACCTAAAAGAAAGAAAGCACAGAAGAACTAAAGAAAGGCCAGAAGAACTAAAGAAAGGAGACTTGCCCGAGACCCAGCACTAGGCCCATCCATCCATCTCAGGATAATATGTTGGCTCCTCATTAATGCAAAGGCTAAGCGCTTATAAGGGAAGTGACAACCGATGGAAATCAACCTACTCTCAGCCCAAAAGCACTTTCTGAATGGTAGAACATGTAAAAAGGATAATGACTCACTAAGTGCTTTTGGGCAAAGCTTGCAACAGCCAAGATTAAATGCCTATAAAAGGGAAGACAAGGCCCAGAGACAAGGACACTTAACCAATCAAACAAACAAGCCTACAAACTTTGCTCTCAAGCCAGTTTGTACCTTCCAAATCGTTTTTAGCAATAGTTCCCTTACAAAGTCATTTTTTGTCTGGTGTAAAAGCTCTGCTACCTTCTCCAAAAGCTGTAGTATCAATTCTATCATGTAAACTTGTTTACCACTTATCCCTTTTAACATACAAACCTTTATAATCACAAAGAGAATAAACTGTAAGACGTTCACCCTTACTCGACAAGTTGAAATCTTGCATGACTCTCTTTGTTTTATCTTTCAATTACTATATCTGGTATTATGATACTCTCTAGTATATATTCAAGTCATTTCCAGTCATTTGATGATCAAAGGTTCCATTGGCACTCAGATTTGGTTCATTTAGTAGTTTTACTGCTATAAAAGATTGAACGGGAACTAGACTGATGGCTTAGTCAAATCTTGACTTCTAACCTTTAAAGCATGCAAGATAATAAAAGTCCTTGATCTCAAGGCACAAAAAAGAACTTAATGTAGACTTAACCCATCTACGACAATCCTTTGATAGCAGGAAATCAAAATAACTTGGGGTGCAAGTAATCGAATAAAACACACTTGTTCTACATCTGCCATACTAAGATGGCAGTGGCACGCTTAAGCATTTAGTTAGTTTTGATTGTGAGCCTCAAGGCCTATACCTAAGGCCATACAAAGGCACATTTTAGAACTAACTTTATCCTCCTCTTGCAGCCCCTCAACAATTAGAAGCCCGAAAACCAACCTAAGTGGCAACTCTCGAGGAGCTGTGTGTTCGAGCCAGGCGCTTTCTCCAGGGAAATTCTTGCCCAAACAGAATGTAAATTGGTTTACTGGTAACTTGGACTCTAAGTTAATAGGTACTAGGTTTGCTGCCTATCTAATTATTCATTTTGTTTATTTGAGAATAGTCAACATGACACATGTATGGCTTGGATTATACCTCCAAGATATAAGGATCTAAAGTTCATGTAATGCCAAGCGTCATGTTCACTTTGGTGACTCTAAATGTGATGCATTGAATCATGTGATTATATATACTCTCCCCTGCAACACTTGTCATGTAGAGCGTAAGATTTTATCATTTTAGAAACATTATCTCTCACCTCCATCTATGCTCTTTTCTTTTTTTTCAAAATCTTCATCATTCTAGAAAACTAACAAAACATAAAAGATGTTTAATTCAAATTCCAATATAGTATCCAGAGTGTATAGGTTCAATTTTGGATTTGGGTGTCGTGAAATCAAGATCAAAAGGGGCTAAATCCAATGAGATCAAAACCCTAAACTCTTGATTTAGGTGTTATATGGCCAGATCTGGTGGTGCTGAGTTGTGACCTCCAATGTTAAAGGTGATAATTATGATTTTTGGAGGACTAAGATGAAGAACATTCTTAGATATCATGATTTATGAGATTTGGTTAAAAATGAGTTTGAAACTTCTACAAAAGTTTCAAAGGAGGAAGATGAAGATTTATCAGTAACACAAAAGATTGCATTGAGAGAAAACATCACTAAAGATGCTACAACTTTGGGGTTTATCTAAAATGTTGTTTCATATGATATTATTCCTCGGACAGTAAATGAGAAGATTGCAAAATCTACTTAGGTGTTTTACATCAAAAATTCAGAAGAGATAAGAAGGTACGAGTTGTTAAATGACAAAGTCTTATAAGGAATTTTTGTTTTACCCAAATAAAAGAGGATGAATCTTGTCTATTTACTTAACTAGAATGTTTGGGGTTTTGAATAAAATGAAAACATGACACACCCCGACCCGGGATGTCCACTTGAACTCCAAATCAAGCTGTGTTGGCCGACGCCTGGAAGGTGACGAAGCCATAAAGGGTATTGATGTGGAAGATGTGAATAAATTTAAACCTAAAAGTGTCTAAGTACAGGAGTGCGCGGCGAGCCGGTATGAACCCATTTCACACATGATGACAGAGCATAAGTACAGTACAGTAAAATAGGGTGAGAATTATACCATCGATGGTAATCGCCTACCTTAAGATTTGCCGATAA